TATCAGGTATTAATATGTAATTGATCAAATTTAAAAAGCTTTAACTTTTAACACACTTATTACTTATAAAAATTTAGAACAAATTTCATGCGAAATTATGAATTTTATGCACAACGAATGGTACAAATATTAGTCGGCACCCTTTGAACCTACTATTCCCGCTAATCTTAAAGAAGACGAAGCTGAAATACGAAATTTATTTAAAGACATTATTATGTATAAGTATGATGTTGTAGGTTCCCCTATATGTTTACCACATATAATTAGACATCGGACACAAGTTCAAATCAATTGCCTACTAAATTAATTGATTACTTTAATCGTTATATGCCTAGTAATGCATTAATTGGAAAAAGTTTAGAAGAGTGAATTGAATTCTAATGAAAGTACGAACGAAGATAACCAGTGGTATTTGCTATTGTAAAAGACCTACTAACACCTACGATTAGTACTTTAGCTTCAAAATCTACTTTTAGTGCAGATAAGATGGTTCTGTCCGAGATCATGAGGTGACTATAAGAAGATGTTTTGAAAGCATCAATGTGCGTGAATGATTGGCAAAAAGCTTATTTTCGACTGTAAGATAAGTATGCCACAATTGCATCTCGTCGGGTAAATGATATTTAATTAAATCATATTAATAATATTTGCTATTTCATAATACTATTTTTACTCTTTTTTTTTGGAAAAATTGTATACGTCAAAGTTGTTCGTTTATAATTTTTAACTTCGCTTACTCAAAATTTAAGTAGCCGGTCCCTAGTTCAAATAAAGGAGGAGGGTTTTAAAAAAAAATGAAAAAGGAAAGAAAGAAAAATCAGTGCTGGTGGGCCAAGCCTCGAGGAACGAGTTGTTCTATAATTTGTTGATAATTCATTGATGGAATGAAAAGGATAAGAATTTGCAATGGAAAAGTCCGCAATGAATCAATTGCTAATTTTGTTTGTCCATCTTTGTTGCCCTTTTTTCAAATCGGACTTCTTTTGAACTCCTTTAAAAGCTTGATGCATGGGCATCATCCATCAATGTCATTGTTATCTGGAAATGAAGCTTAATTTGGACCACTATAGACCTCTTCAACAGATGTTGCATAAACCACCCATGTCTCTTTCTAGTTCTTACTTCAAATTAAAGGTGAAAAATAATTAATTAATTTCCTCATCACTAACAAATATTTATATTGATTACAAATTTTTAATTTTTGACTAATTTTTTTGTTTATTAATTGATCATATGTAATGGTTGATATTTAATTTGTGGTGTATCAGGTTGCAGTTGGATTGTGTTCAATCCATTTATTAAAGACGAAGGTACATATCAGTTTGTGAAACCTAATTCATTGAATTTGAGCACAACCGTCAGTGGAATATCACTGTCTTTAGATTTTTGAAGGATTCTGATGTTGGACGAATATAAACATTGTTTCTTCTATCAATTGTTTGTGATCTATGAACTCACTTCTATGTTTTTTTTTTCCCCAATTACAATTTTGACATTTCGGGAAAGAAGAATACAAGGAAAGTCAATGAGAGAAGACCTGGCAGCTGATGCTTTATTTTAATTAATGAGAAATTGGATTTAATTAATGAAAAATTACTTTGAAATTTTGGTTGGTATTTAAATCTTTTATAAAAGATAAAAAAAAAATGTAAAACATTATGCAATGATACGTAAATTTCACATCGAATAAAAATGTAATAAATATATAACATAAAGGTCTAGGTTTCTCATATTAATAATGTTAACCTTTTAAAATTTAACCATGTGCCTTAATAATAAGTAATTTAAATGAAAATAATCGTCTGTAATTTTTTTAATCCGAGATGCAAATTGGGGTAGTGGGCAGAGGTCCCCAAGACAGGAGTTCATTTTCTGAAATAGAATCCAGGAACAAGAAGACAGCAACCCATCCACGTTTAAACAAAATTTGAACGCCGCTTAAAGAGAATTAGGGTTCCCCAGGATGGAGACACTTTCTGATTACACATTTTTTATATCCACAGAATAGAGATAAACGTACACATGAAACAACTACTGTGGGGGTAATGAGACCACATACACACATAAATGAAATCTCAATGATATCCTTGGTATCAATGTTTGTTTCTACTCATAATCTTTAATCTAAATTGATAGGATGAAACAATAAAGTTTATGTGGTTGAGTGCACTAGAAGAGGAGAAATAAGAGTCAGTTTAGGAGTAATTTTTGAGAATTGATTTTTTGACCGTTGGGAGAAAAGTATGGTCCACCTGTGAGAGAAGAAGTCAAATATGATTGCTGGAATAGTAAAATAACGATAAAAAAATTAATTTTTTAAGAGAAAAAATCACTCCCAAACACGCTTTAAGATTGATTGGAAAGACAATTGCCAAAGTAAACTCCACTACCCTACTCTACCAAGAGCACCACTACCATTACTCGAAAATAGATAAAGATTTCAATATAATACAAGTCACTCCACTGGAAATTACATTGCGAACATGATTCTTTAACTTGAACCTTAGAATATTTACGCTTAGGTGGCACTAATAGAAGGGGACTTGAAAAAAGTGAATCCCAAGCAACAACAAGCTCGTGTAACATGTTTGAGTACCTCTGCGAAATGTAAATGCTAAGTTATTTTGATATTTATTAGATTTTCTTGTTGCCTCTTTCTTCTTCTTTCTTGTGATGGGAGTCCGTAAGTAAAAATGAATTTACGGGCTCCTCTCAAAAGTTAATAAACTCTTAGACCATGTCATAAAAAGTTCGTACATTTAATTAACTTAAAGGCACAAAATATTAGCTTAGTCATATTCATGAGATGTGGCATAGGATGTTGCCATAACATATGATGGAGCAAAGGAAAAACAAGCACTGCAGAAAGGTTCACATCAGATATATTTTTTCTACTTTATGAAGGCACAACCGCACAACTAGAGCAGTCCAATAATTAAATTTACCCTATAAATACTTATATACATACATATGGTCCCTCGACTGCATCTACTCCTGTGACTATGACTTTAATGGCAAAGAAGGGTTTCGCATGAGTGAAGGGTTGTTTTGATGTGTTCAATGGGAAAAATGGTCCCATTTCGATGAAAGGATGTTGTCTATTAAAGGAGTACTTCCATTAAAACGCTAAACTAAGAAATGATTATGCATGTATCATAAAATCCCAAGATGAGAGAGAAAGATAGTGACTAGTCTTGAAATGTGGCAAATAATTATAGGTAGAGTTGCCTTAATTAAGCTTAGATGCAAACTAGCCAGTTGAGAATAATTGTAAAACTAGTCAACAATACAGCCGGCTGCTACTTTATAATCCAATGGATTTTGTTGCCTTCTTCTGCTATTAATATTGTTTTTGGTAGTAGGAATTGTTTGTGTAATCATTGAAATTAAGTTGGAAATCAATGTCGACAGATATGTCCCCTAAATGGTGAAGATGCAATTTATGTAGATTTCTGATAAATCTGTGGCTGAATTTCGTGTGCAGATTGATCTACTATACAGTGGTGAATACAAAGATTCAATAATCAAAAGCATTACTAAAAGGTTGAACAAACCTTAAGGGTCCCCCACCGTCCCGTCACTGAAGCATTGTGAGAGAGGTTAATTACGAGATGCGCCCCAACAGACTAAGGAACAAGAGCTGCTTGTACCTCACAAAGAGTCCCAATTCATGTTTCAGGAATCGAACTCTCACACTGCAGCTAGCAAGGCTGAGTATACCTCACCCTTGTCTTTTGCACCACTACCCTTGTCTTTTGCACTACTGGGATATGTCCTGAGGGGGAAAAAAAGATTTGTATAGCAGAAAAAACCAAATAATTTGCAACAAAAATTGCCAATATTACAGTGCTAGGCTCAACCACCATATTTTACTATGTATAGTAGAGGTACATGTATGATTTATTGTACTCAACTACGAAATTCTCCTATCAAACAATAGCTTATAATTGGAATCTCGATCTAATTAGAAGATTACATGTGGAGAGTATTGTTGCGTCAATTTCTAAGTCAAAATCCATTACACCTCCAAAATGAGTCTTTGCTAGAAGAAGGATAGTGAAAGCATATTCTGCTATGAAATGATTGTATATATTGCATCCCAGTTACAATCAAGGTAACAGTGAAAATTTCAAATGTATGTGAAGGGAAAACTTCTTGTAATCCCTCTTAACATTTCTAGGACCACCAGCAATTACAGGCAACCATACATAAATACATACATACATGCATGCATGCATACATACATACATACATACATACATATATGTTGGAGCAACAAGTAGTAGAATATGGTCCAAACTGGGATTGGAGGAGACCCCCACCATTTTAACTCAAAGTCATGTCTCTCTCATTCCATTGATTAATACACATGCAATTTACATAACAAAATGAATAGAGGAACAAGGGCATGTGGTACAAGCCTGCCCAGCTCTATCGATCCTAAATATAATATTAATGTTTGATACACAAATTAATTCGATTTTTATTCCATACAACCCTATTGAACATCTTACCATTGATTTAATTTTTCTGAATTGCTAACAAAGTCCCATTCTTTCCTTAAAAGAGTATTACATCTTCAACGACCAATTAATTCCGTGGGATATTGAATCCGATAGCATTGTATAATTAATAACGATTGTCAAATAGTGATAATTATTATAAAACGATACAGAAATTATTATAGTTTCAATTAGAATGCAAATATATATAGTAAGTTAAATTCTAAACTGATTGTAAAAATAGTTAAAAACATCTCTAGTGCAATGACTTATAAAAATTATATATAAATTTGCTAATATATATGCCCCATCTCCATAATGCAATAAGGTGAGAAGCTATTCCTCTTATACATATATAATTAAAATGTTACATAATGTATATATAGATTCACTAATATGCTTCATCTCCATAATGCAATAAGGTGAAAAGCAACAAATGGATCAAAACTTCTCTCTCCTAATATATAATTTCAATGCTATACATAAATTGTTAGGCCTTATTCAAGGTCAATTATATGGGTCCCACCATACCAACAATACCCCATATACAAGACGACTTCTCCCTCTCGACAGTTTTCTTCTTTCCCTTAACCTATTCTTTCTACATTTTCTTTCCCATTCTGCAAAAGGGTTGTCACTAATTTCATGGAGAAGACAGATCAGAGAGAAACTCGAGACTTTATGAACGTTGAGTCGTTCTCTCAATTGCCCTTCATTCGTCCCGCACCTGCTAAAGAAAAGGCTATTAGGCTATTCGGGAAAGAATTTGGAGGAGGTGACTCAATTCCTTCTGATCCTCACGAAGAACCGGAGCTTTTTACTGAGACAAGCACTCGTGAAGAGACCAGAGACAGCGATAATAATGGTGAAAGCAGCCGGAAATTTGAATGCCATTACTGTTGCAGAAACTTTCCTACCTCACAAGCCCTTGGAGGTCATCAAAATGCGCACAAAAGAGAGCGTCAACATGCTAAAAGGTTGCACCTTCAATCTGCTATGGTGCACAGTGCTGTATCTGATCACTCTCACCTCTATGGTCTAATGAACTATCCTCTTGGTTCAGCCGCAACACCTGCTTACAGTTCATGGACTAATTACAACAGCAGCAGTTCTTACAGTACCAGACATAACGGGTTTTATGGTCGCTATGGATCTAGTTACTCTAGACCACCTATTAATGGTAGTCCCTTGGCCTTATGGCAAATCCCATCCGTCCATACTTCCACTGCCTTTAGACACGACCATTCATCAACTCATCAGCTACCGCTGTTTTCTAAGGACGATTTGAAGCTATCATCAATCAATGGGTCTGATTCTCAAAGCAGATTCGTGTACGAATCAAAGCCGAGCATGCAAGATCAGGTAAGTTTGGATTTACGCCTTTAGCATTTCTTGAGGAACAGCATATAACATACTCTGAGGCCGGCTATGATTTTTATTGGACTGAGTTATTTTTTATAATTAATGCGGAAAAAAATAAAAATCTTATTTCATGGTATCAGTTAGCATGTAAATGAAATGGACTTTAATTAGTATGGTACTGATGTTATAGCAAGAAGCTGCTGCCTGCAGCTGCAACTTGACTCTTCACAAATTATTCATTTTGTTAGTATTTCAGTACATTTGTACTCTTATGAAACTTAATTTCCACTAGTTGATCTCTTCTAATTAGCTCTAAATAATCTTCTTTTTAATTTTTGCGTTCGTAGAGAATGTATTGGAACATAAGTACGATTAGACCAAGTATTCGACTGTAATCTAATCCAATATACATTGGATTTCTGATATTTCTAGGGTAGTTACAGGTAAAAGAACAGCTAGAATTTGTTCAAATTTTTGAGAGAGGAAATGGGGACAGATTTTTGTTAATTGCAAGCATATGTAACTATCAAACTTTAAATGATGTGGAACGTTTATCTTTAAGAATATTTGAAGTGGGAAGTTCTCTAGACACACATCGAGGATCATCATCTAACAAAGGTGGCATATTTAAGTCCACTTGTTGAAAGAAACTAAAATGATGATACAATACAATGGTCACCACTTGCAGCATTAGTCTGCAACTCATTCAGGTTACTGTCTTTTGGGACCCCAACACGTTTGGAACTGAAAAATCAGATCATAATTTCAACTATGGTAAATTTTTTGGTATATTTAATTTGGAGATATATTAGAACCACAAATGCGATATTTTCTTCACCTTCTGGTTTTCTCTATGATATTAGTTATAAATATCTTCTAGAGACAATTTCTTCTAATTAATTAGGATCATCTTGAAAGGTCTAATGTTGGAAATTTTGTGGCAATGGAGAACAAAATAATTGATAATATTTTTTGTTAGAGTCGGATACTAATCTATAAATGCACGGGATGATTCTCTTTTTGTGAATCATAATCCTTAATTTTTCAGATAGATATATTTTGAATCGTGATTTCTGTTTCATATCCCATAAAATTTATTAAAACTGACAACATTTTAATTAAATTACAATTAATTTAGTGTTTATCATGTTACTTCAAATCTATTTATTTAAATCAAACGTATTATGTGTCATTTCTATTACATCATTTAACATGTCAATACATATGTATCTCTTTGTATAAATAAAGTTTTTTTTTTTTTTTTTTTTATTTTGAGGAAATTGCATAGACCTTCCCTGACCTTGTGATAATTTTAGAAACATTTCTTCCCTTCTAATACAAACATCTCTTTATAGTTTATTCTAAGTTTTCAATAAGGATACCTCCCTCGAAATGTACAACAATTTCAAAGACATACCTCCCTTTTCAAAATTTTTGCAAATCTCACTTATTTTTAAGTTTAAATAATGTATCTCTCTCATGAAGTTTATAACAATTTCAAAAAGGGTAATTTATTATCACCGGAAAATTTATTTACTACACTACATTATAATTAAAATATATTTTTAATAAATAGACCACATAATTTTACAATTATACTCCTAATTCAATAAAAATTAAAAAAAAAAAACACTATTGTGATTTAATTGTTTCCGTTCTCCTTTTCTGTAATATTTATCCTTCATATTATGGACTATTTTCTTTGATAAATTCCAAATTTGATGTTTACTTAGGAACCACATGTGAAAACACATTCAAGTGGCGAAGAACCAAAAATGAAATACACCACATACTGGAATACTTATAATTCATTTAATGTCAAATTAAGAAAACACATCAAATTAACGAATTCCGCTAATAGAAAAATTCGAAAAAATAAAGGAAAAAAAGGGTATCTTGAGGCCAAATTCAAGAAGTCAAAAAAGAAATAATCATATAGCATCAATTTTACTTCAAAAATTGGTGGGTTGAATTTCACGAATTTAGAGAGAGAAGCTTCATTTGTAGATATGGCGAAAACATCAATTCTCTTCTTCTTCTTCTCCTCCTTCTCAACACCAAAAAAAAGATTGATCTTGACAAAGAATTTTACTCTATAACGAAGAAAATTAAAAACAGATAACAATTCAAGTTGAGTATACTATTGGAATCCAAATTCCAAAAGTGTGTGTGTGGTGGTGGGTGGGAGATAAGTATTTGTGATATATCTCTTTTCTTTGTTTGGTGGAATTTTCATAGAGCATGGAAACAATACGAACTTCATCTCTGTTGATTAGCATATCACCATCCTTAAATGTCCTTGATTCAGTTCCACATATAATCACAACTTAATCATTTCATATTTATATATATTAGCTAACTTGGAGTTTCTAATCCCAAAATTCAATAATCAACCACGTGACACAAAAGTCGTCGATGAAAAAGCTATGGGCAAGGCCATGTAGGGAAAAGATATAAAAAAAACTAGGTTTATGATTGCAATGGAACTATAAATTATTTTGTGTGATAAAGATATCAAAATCTATTTATGTAATTTTACTTAAGGTTATTTAAGTAAATAAAAAAATGCTTAAAATTGTGGTTTAACTAACAAAATTCGCAGAGGTCATAGAATTATGCTTTTAAAAATACATCTTCCTTTTTAAAATTACACAAATCTCCCTATTTCAAAATTTTAAATTGCATGTGCTTTCCTTAATTACTTTTCCTTTAACATATTAGTATAAATATTAGTAGTAATGCTTAAAATTATTTATTTTAAAAAAATAGTAGTAATGCTTAAAATATCATTACGATATTTCTTCCATCTTGTGATTCTTTAAAGAATAATGTAATATTTAAACTATAATTTTACCAATTCTAACTAAATCAACAATAAACTATTGTCAATACTATCGATTTTTTAAAGTACAACGATAGATACTCTAATTTGAGACTCAAAATACATTTATTTAAAGTTATCGACTTGATTCATTTCAAATCGCCAATTAAAAGACTATGGTATCCTAATATAAATAAAATATTAAATATTTCATTTTGGTTATAAACCATACACTACAGATCTACACTACAATAATTTAAAGAGCAATTATATTACCACCACAAAATGTACTAGTTACACCACAATTTTAAGCATTTTTTTATTTACTTAAATTACTTTAAGTAAAATTATATGAACAAGGTTTTAATATATTTATGACATAAAATTTTTATTGTTACACGACAATCATAAAACAAAAAAGTCATTTGAGAAAGAGGCATTCTTGTAAAACAACGATTATGCTGAAATCTACATATTTCTCTTGAAACATCAAAATTTAAACAACAAACATATTTCTTTTCAAACATCAACATATAAGCTTTTCTTTAGGTTTGTGATTATCTACAATATATTAAAAGTGTGGAAGGTGGAGAAACTTTTAAATACCAAATTTACCCCAAAATATTTAACTATATGCTCACCATACCCTCGTAATTGGAATACCAATTAAATTAATATTTATCAGTTTGGTTTAGAATTAATATGATATAAGGAGTGAAATATTTATTTGATATTTATCATTTTGGATTGGAATCAATATAAGGAGTGAAAATAACATTCAATTATAAAAAAAACAAAAACAAAGTCAATGACTTACCACTCAATTGACTATTTTGTTCTTACAATTTTTATTATCCACCAACGACTCAATTTTTATTTTTCATCAACAAAACCCTTATAAATTTTCATGATTTACATTATAATTCATACAATGAATTTTTATTTTTTATCAAGAGAGCAATTTTTAATCTTCATGCTTTACATTATAATTCATTCATTAAGTTATTATTTAATTGAGGTTACAAATATTTTAAAGGTTGCATTAATATTAATGAAGACATTCAATAAATAAAAAAGAAATTACACATAGAAATTGAATGACTAACATTCAATTGATTTTTTTCTTTACAATTTTTAGTTTTCATTAGCAAAGCCCTTATTACTAATTTAATTAATATTTATCATTTGATTTAGAATTAATATAGTGGTGAGATATTTAATTGATATTTATTATTTGGGTTGGAATTAATATAAGGAGTGAAATTGGCATTCAATTATTAAATTAAAAAATCAACGAAAATTTAGTGACTTATCATTCAATTGAATATTTTGTTCTTACAATTTTTATTTTCCATCAACAAAGCAATTTTTTTTATTTTTAATCGACAAAACCCTTATTAATCTTCATGATCTACACTATAATTCATCCATTGAGTTTTTATTTTTCAGTAACAAATCAATTTTTATTTTTTATCAACAAAGCCATTATTAATTTTCATGATTTACATTATAAAAAAGAAAATGGAGTTTTCGACCTCCATTTTTGGCTGTTTCATGTTGCGTGAATAGTCTATTTTAGCGCAATTTTTCGGCCAATTCCTATAGATTTTCAGCCAATGGTTGGATGGTTTGTGAAGACGAAAGTGAGGGCTTCAAGTTGGTATGTTAGTCTACTTGCCGAGATGACCGGAAGGTGGCTGAAAATGGCCAGCAAGTGGCAGTGGCGTGGGGGTGAGGTGAGGGAAGAAGGTGAAGTTTTGGGGAGGATATTTGCACTTTTTTAGAAGTTTGGTTATAGTTACAATTTTTTCTTTTCTTTTCTTTTTTATTTTATTTAAATAGTAGGGCATATTGGTCATTTTACACCCAAAAAAACAGTGGAAAGGACCTTCGACACAAAAAAGGTGAAAATAGGGGAAAAATGCCAAAAAAATGAAAGATATGGATATTTTCCACAATACACCCGAACGATAGGGGCGTTTTGTGCCAATTACCATTATTAAAAAATCATTTAATTGTGGTATAATTATAATGTGGTGTAGTAAGTAAATTTATTTTAATTATATATATTTTACTTTTGACAATAATGCCTTTAATAATGAATGTATCATAATGGTTAGTAATTAATAATTATATTATACCTCAAAAAATTAATTATAATTCAACTCCATGTTGTCTCCATTAAATATAAAATGAAAAAATTATAAATTTTATTCTTTTATTTGAAATACTTAAATTATATGTTAATCGAATTAAGTTTTAGCCCCCATTTGTCCCCCATTTTGTGGAAATGAAAATTGGTGGAAGAGTATTTTTTTAAAAAAAATAAGTGGTTGAAAAAAAAAATTCTGTTTACATATAATATAATTTTATGAAAGATTGTATGGTTGAAAATATGAGAAAGAAAAATGAAATAGAATAGAATGAAAATTAATGAGGGGCAAACAGGTGCTTAATCACTTAAAAAATGAAGCTTGTCTATATATAATCATATTTTATAATTATAATAAAACAGTTAAGAATCAAATTTCCTTTTGAACGGTAAAGGATAACAGGTTATGTGAAATTAGAAATGATTGTTGCCAATCCTAAAGATCCTAATAATTAGGAGTTATTTACCTTAATATATTTAGAACCTCCATCCACATATTTCTCTTAGGAATTATAAAGAAATCTATAACATTTTCAAATTTATTTGAATTTTGATTTTTTTTTTTCGAAAGCAGTTGATTAATGCGCTGTAGTCAACTTTTATGAAGTTTTAAAGGTCTTTCTTCTTTAGAGGAAAATATATTATTAGGATAATGAATTTCTGTCATTGAATTGGTTTGCTTACTAATATAATTTAACTTCGAAATATATTTTGGTAAATTATTTTTTATATGGTTTGTAAACTTATTTTAAAAAAAAAAATTTGATAACTTCTTTATTTGTTCGACTAAATGTTTTTCTCAAATATTTTTAATTGTTCTAATGTTAAATAAATTAAATCAATACACTTTCATTTTTAATGGAGTCACTTTCTCAATAAATTTGAAGTTGAGTAATGAATCAATGAAAATATAATTTTAAGTTTATTTCAACCCAATTTTTTTTCTTGTTGAAAATGAATAAAATAAAAAGGCGTTGTAATGATTGAAGCACAAATTATATGAACTGACCCCATAGTGCATTACTAAGACTCAATTATTAAAAAAAAAAAATGAGAAAGAGCATTTTGGGCTGCAAGCATTTGAAATTAAATGCTCATTGGTTTGTTTTTCAGTTTTAGCTTTGAATTTTGAGTTGATTTCCAATTTTCTATTTTGAAGGTTCATTTTAATATTACTAAAATGTGTTTGTTTTGTCATTTTGAAAAATTATTTTTCAAAATAGAAAACTAGAAAAGATGTTTGGTTTGAAATTTTTAAAAATTGTTCTTATGATATTTTATTCAATGAAATTTGATTATTCAATAAAAAATAGAATTATTTTATGTTAGTATATTAAGTAATATATACCTTTTAAACTTGGTTAATCTTACAACAATTTTTTCTTGCTACAAAAGTAAGATAAAAATAAATAATAAATTGCATTCAAAATCTAGGAAATAAAAATAAAAATTCAAGAGGAAATATATTTTCAATATGTTTATGTTTTGCAATGATCATTAACAATGCTCAAAGGACAAACAATGCCTACTACTTAAATATACCTTCTTGAACATGTATTATCTCATGTACAACTATATGTCGCACTTTCTAGCTGAATTTCAATATAAACCAAAAAAAAGTCTTGGTAAGAGCAAAAAATAAAAAGAAGAAAAATGTGAGAGGTTGACAAAAATATTGTTAACAAAGAAAAGCTATAGTGATCGAAATATTACATTTATGTTTATTCAACATTTTCACATTATATATGTCATTTTATAAAAAAATTTATTCATATATATTCTTTCTAACAATTTTAATTTTTCTTTAACAATATTAATTACTTCAAATATTTTCAAATATTGTATCAATACTTCAAAAATATTATACATATCATTCATCCTATACATAAGATGTACAACGCACATACTTACTAATAGTATTAAAGAAATAAGGCATATATAATTTTCGTTTAAAATCCACTATAATATATCATTAAACAACTTTATTTTTGCCAACTCTACACTAAAGTATGAGGAATAAAAACTAGTTATAAATTGCAGACGTATGAATATATAGAAAATAAAATCATGTTGTTTATCACCCTCAAAGAAAAAAACATTTCCCATACAGATATGAGGTTTCATATTTAAATGCCAACCTTATTAAAAGGAGTAGTCTAAACCTTTATAAATTGGTATTTATTTCGATATTTAATCGATGTGAGATTATCCCTTAATATTTTCTCACAAGATGGTGGCTTCTTTGAATAAACCAATTTTGAAATTCGCTAGCTCATTTTTTGAGTATTAATCGAATTGAATTGTTCGTTGAAATTTAATAGGCTCTGAAATTATATTAAAAATTGGTTTTCCATCTTAAAATGTCAATTTTATTAAGAGAAGTACTCTGAACCCTTATAAATTAGTCTATATTTCGATATTTAATCGACATGAGATTCATCCTTTAACAACTTCTTTTAAATTTCCGAGCACTCCTTTAAGATAAAGTTACAACTAGAATTCCTTCATTTTTTTGTGTTCCGCAATTTAATTATTTAAATCATTTAATTATTGAAATATTTTTTGTTCTGACGTACTATATTAGGAAAAATAAAGTTTACCATTTTGATCTCGTCATTCACTTTATGATATTGGAGACATCGAAAGGGTAACTCTGAGGATGAAGTATTTATCGAATTTTTGGACAGCATTGATGATGCGTACTTTGAAGGACACCAAACTCTTCAGACAAATAATTAATGGTGATATGCCATTTTCTTTCTTTTCAAACATGGAAGAAAGTATGTCATTGTTTGAGTCTCATTTTGGATGAAAAATATATTTTTGAATAGTTTTTGAATAGTGTATTAATAAGCAATATATGGTTAAAAAATAAAGAAAAATTTTGAATTTGTGTGTAATATTTTTTTATTGAGAAATGTGTTGTTGAAATAATGTCAAAATACTGTTTAAATAAATAAATAAATATATATATATATATTTTTTTTTTTNATAAATAAATATATATATATATTTTTTTTTTTTTCTTTCATAAAATGGAGCTCAAACAAGGGCTATGGCATGTTAAACGTTTCCATATAAATAAGTTTCAAAATAAATAATTTTTAACTTAAAAATATGTTATTCAAACATATTTAAAATTAAAGTTAACTTGCGTTTAAGATTAGCCAAAAAGGCCCCTAATACTGGAGAGACATTGAACTTTTCATGAATTTAAAATTTCACTTGAAAAAATAATAAAACGAAGGAGTAATAGTCCTAAAATGTCCTAGCACAACCAATAGCTGAGCGAGAGCCTTCGACACTTCCCTAGGCTTTGAGGTAAATTAGAAGGTAAAGATTAAACAATAACCTTTATTGAAGGATAATTCTATATGTACAAGATGGTTTCCATTAGGGTATTTATAATGTACACGTGAAATTTCATGATTGAAGGGTTAAAATAATTGTTTTTCAACCCTCCAATGGTGTTATGTCACTTGTACATTGTTGACTTCGAAAATTAGACATTCCACGTGGCCAACCGATAGCTACTCCACGTATTCCTTTCTGTGCACAATCAACGTACGGTCAGACGCACACGGCCGGGACCAGTGGGGGTGGTGACGGCCGTATACACTCCAACGGTCAAATCAGGTTTAGGTGGTTGGAACAGTACTTAGGGGTTGTGCAAAATAAGAATAAGGGAGAGGAGAAAATATATAAACTTGCTATGGAATGCTATGTAGTAAGAGTTTCATTACATAAAGTTGATAAGTTACATCAATTAGCCTCGTGGAGACGTCAAATCAATTTAAACTTTAGATGCACAGAGAATCTTGGCAAAAATCTCTTTCTGAAATTGGCGGCGGATCTTCTAACAAAGGTTCACTTCGCCTCGACTTCAGGGGCGAGGGCGCTTCGGTCAGTTCAGCAGGATCGTTTATGTCTCTCACTGTGCTACTAGGTTGTTGACATTGGAGATATCACTTCGAAAACACTTCGGATGGGTGTTTATCAAGTCGAAATGTGTGGTGGTCGGCATTCCGAAACGATTCAAATAATAGGGGTGTAACATACATTATGAACACCCTTATGGATACCATAATGTATATGTATCATAACCTTTTATTGAAATTTACTAAAAATCTAATTTTTTAGATACACAAAAAGAGGCTAAATAGGAGAAATCTATTTGAGTCCCTTTTTTTCATTAAAATACATTTTTTAACTGTGATTTAATTTCACTTCAACCATACGTTTCTCAATAAAATAATGTTACATAAAAATTCATGATTTTTTTAAATATTTTTTAACCATATTTTTCATCAATTTACTATTTAAAAATACATTTTTTGACAAGAATAGGGCTCAAACAAGGGCTAGATTAAGTCCTATTTGTCTTCCTTTAAAATTAGACTATTTAAGTCCCGTTTGGAAGTGATTTTGAGAATTGATTTTTTAACTGTTAGGATAAAAGTGTGGGCTACTTGTGAGAGAATAAGTCAAACTTTACGGCTGAAATAGTAAAATAATAGTCAACAAACCAATTTTTGGGGTGAAAAATCACTCCCAAACAAATATTTAATTTTTATGCTCATTTTGAACAACATATTTACATAATAAAATATTTTTTTACATAAATTCAATTTTTTCTTATATTTTTAACACACATTAAAAAATAAAATATTTTTTTACATAAATTCAATTTTTTCTTATATTTTTAACACACATTAAAAAAAAAATAAACAATTCAAAACTTCATTTTTTTCAAAATAATGGCCATCAAAGATGGGCTAAAATGTGGGCCTAGATTTGCGCTAGACTAGTCTCCGAGCCTAGCCATTTTGAGACCAAATTGAAAGGCCCAATAAAATGATTTAAACAGAACTAAAAATAGCCCATTCACCATCCGAGCCCATTCACATTCAAAACCCTAACTACTCATCTCCCGAATAAAATCCCCTATTCCCATTAGGGTTTCATTTGCTCTCGTCACACACAAGCACAAAGCGAGCTAACTCAAGTAAAAATGCCGGCCGGACATGGTTTGAGATCACGCACTAGGGATCTGTTTGCTCGGCCGTTTAGGAAGAAGGGTCCTACCCCTCTCTCGATCTACCTCCGTACCTACAAGATCGGAGACTATGTGGATGTCAAGGTGAACGGGTCGATCCACAAAGGCATGCCGCACAAATTCTACCATGGCCGCACCGGCCGCGTCTGGAATGTGACTAAACGTGCCATCGGCGTTGAAGTCAACAAGCAGGTTCGCAAGATAAAACCTAACGAATCTCATACGTCAATAAGATATCTAAATGTCTATATGTGTTTTCTTTGTTAATTTGTGAGAGATTGATGGAAATGCTGACAGCAAGGTGCTTTCGTGATAATGAAGTTGTATCTAAAATTAACCATTTTGCTGCTTGTACATAAAATTGTTACATAAGCGGTTATGAAAAATGATGTGAAGGGAAAATATTGGATGAAAAAGTTAACTGTATTTTCAACTCCAAATGGTAGAGTGCATTATGGAATTCCTTATGTAAACCTTGATGAACATGTAGCAAGTTAATGTGTCTACTGATATGGTGGTTTATATATGTGTGTCCGTTTCTGTTGTGTATTGGCTTTTAAGCAGTTACTTTTAACTCCATTCTGATTTGGGAAAATTTTAATTTAAGATTTTTTTTGGTACTTTTCTTTATAATTCTACCACATACCGATGAATGTAAATATGTTTTTGTTTCTAATTGTTTCTTTATATAATTCGGGGGTTTCTCTAACTATTTTTAATCAGGAAAGGAGAGAACACGAATGAGAAAATGGTGATAAGACCTTAATTTTACGCTATATATACTGGCTCTAAATTGGTATGTTACAATTGATGCGACCACTGTTTAATATAATTGCAAAAGTTCAAGCAGCCTCTCAAATTTATCAGTTTTTAAACTCCATAAAGAATATGCTCGTGCTACATGAATTCAGGGTATTTAAGTTGCTTGTAACAAAAAATATAGAAGGAACCCAGAATTTTTGGCTTGATTGCCTTATGATTGAAGCTTGAACTTATTGTCCCCAGAGCCCATTTTTCAGATGAGAGTAGAGCTGAAAGTTCGTTTTCAGCATGTTACATGTATGCAATTTATTGGGAAGTTTATTTTCAATTATTAAGAATCCTTTTGCTTGTTTGGTTTTTTGTAATGTATTCTACTAGAATAAATAATGAGCAGCTCAAGTCTTGTTCTGCCTTCCAGTCTACCGTGTAACCAATATTAGCTTTAATGTTTACTTATGCATGCTAATGTGCTTGTATTGTTTCTAAGATTGTTTAGCCCTCCATTCTTTGCTGTGCCTTTAAATGTTGAGTATATTCATGTTGCAGGTAGGCAACAGAATCATTAGAAAGAGGATCCATGTCCGAGTTGAGCATGTGCAGCCATCAAGGTGTCATGAGGATTTTCTGCAAAGGATCAAGACCAACGACAAACTTAAGGGTGAGGCTAAGGCAAGAGGTGAAGTGATTAGTACCAAGAGGCAGCCAAAGGGACCCAAACCCGGGTTCATGGTTGAAGGTGCAACTTTGGAGACTGTTACTCCTATTCCATATGATGTGGTTAATGATCTCAAGGGGGGTTATTAAATTAGTCTGTTATTTATCGCTGTCCTTGTCTGGTTATTGTGATCTGAACTGTTGAAGACCTCAATTAGCTAATTTTGTTTCCTGGACTTATAAATGCACTTCATTGGGATTTTGTTCTACAATGCAAGTAGAGGATTCTGTTTTGGTGAAATTTTGCTTGAATGAAATTTAATAGTTCAATTGAATATTGGGAAATCCTGGTTTGTGACGATTGTGTTTCAATATAATACATGTGTTATATTTCCTGCCACGCTAGCTTGACAAGTTGTTTTATATTACCAATTATTTTTTATGGAATTCAAGCTATTAAGTTATGGGACAGCATGAGTGTAACTGAAGTAATTTTGATGTAAGCTGAACAAATTGAGACCGGACATTTCTTTCCAGTCTAATTAAATTGATCTTCATTACCTGGCAAAGTTGTTGCATTTTTGTACTTTAATTTCCTTGAAGTTCAAGGTGTTATAGCACTAGATACTGAATGAAAATTAAAATTATAAGATTTTGTGATCAGGTATAAAATTATTTCATAGAAAAGAGCAGAAAGTCTTTCAGCTTAAATCCAATCTTATTTATAAACAAGGGAGAATTGATATTAGGAGTGAATGCAAAGAAAAGAACTTGTGCTGGAATAAAGGGGTTTAGTGTTTGATAGAAGTTACTCTTGATGCCATGGCTTTTCACTAACTCATCCACTGGCGATATTTCTCATTTCCAACTTCAAGTGCCTCAGTACGAACATCTTTTTTTTTTTTTTTTTTTTTTAAATGCTTGTCTTTATGTTTTTTCTCATCGGTGCTGAGATTTTCATTTCCTTTTATGGGGTGTTCTCAAGAGAGGGTTTCTTCAATTAAAGTTTTGATGGATTTTAAAAAATTATAAATTTTAATGAATTTCGTCAATTTGAATAGATTTTCACAATTTCCATAAGAATTTTCAAAAAAATTGATTATATGTATTTTTTAATTTGAAATCCATCCAAATCTATTAAAATTATTCTATTAATGAAATTTTTATAAATTTACTAGTTATTGAGAATAACTAAATTTTAAAGGATTTATCTGAATTTCAATTGAGGCACCTAAATTTTAGTGAATGTTATTAAAATCCATTTAACTCTCAATTAAGGATGCCTAAATTTAGAAAGAATTTAAAAATCCATCACTATCTCAACTGGGGACACCTCTAAGGTTTCTAGTAAATTTTAAAAGATCGTAAATTCTAATAAATTTCGTGAATTTGAATAGATTCATACAAATTTAATAAGAATCTCATCAAATATAGTGAAATTATAAAAGATTTGGTTATACGTATTTTGAAGATTGAAATTCATTCGAATCTTTTAAAAATTTTCTATTAATGAAGTCTTTATGAATTCACTAATTATTGAGGAAACCTAAATTTCAAAAGATTTCATTAAAATATCAATTGGGGATACCTAAATTTAGAATAACTTTTAAAATTCATCACAATCTCAATTGATGAATCCTCCTCAATTTCTGATCAAGAAAATGAAAGACAAGGATATATAAATCCTTGGACAGTATAAGTTGCATTGTTAAATTTGTATTTGAAGTTTTCCAACTGTCAACTATGAAAAATATACTGTCCAATTCAATGAATATGCGAATCTTGTTCTTGTGTTTCAAAGTCATGTCGATTTATTTTTCATTGATGGCTGAAGGAAGTGCATCATTGAAGTTCAATAACAGTGGTGAAGCATGGATTCCAGAGCATTGGTGCCGTGAGCAAATAAATGCACCCAAATGTGATTCCCAGAAGTGCATGCAAATATGTTCTCTGAAGGAAAGAGGAGAAGGAATCTGCACTGCAACCACTTGCATTTGCACATTTTACTCCAACAATCCACCTAATTAGTGCATGTATTTTTCTCTTTATCTTAATCTGATATGTCAAAATAAATAAATTGAATTTATTTACATATGTCATAACTAAAATTTGTAATTCTTTTTCGAGAGAGAGAGATATTCGTGGAACTTTTCGATAAACAAGACAATGAAAATATTTATAATTTAGCTAGCTTATTTAAATATGTGTTGATAAACTCTAAGAATTTAGCCAAATGTATGTAATTGTGAAGTTGAGATGACTTTTTCACTATTCAACGTAAATAATCTGTTCTTTTCTTTTCTTTTTTCAGTGAATAATTGAATATGCATTACGATAATCCAAATTCTTGCGCAGATTATGATGGCACCCTTTGTAGTAATTCACAGTTACTTTAGTTTTTCCTTCATTTTCAAAAATAAAAATCAAGTCTTTTGCCATGCCAAAAAAAAAAAAATAATAATAATAATAAATTATTTTTTACCATTTTATCATTTATACCAAAATAATATTGAAACGCTGTTTTGTTCTCGTTGTTTTTTCCACAATTAGATTACTTTTTTTCTTTTTAGACAAAGTGATGATATATTAATATGTTTTTATCATAATTAACTTATTTATTTAAAGAAAATAAACAATAAGTGTATCCATGTTATGAAAAGAGAAGAATATGGAGAAAAGTCAGTAGAATTGTGTGTTTTTTATTAAGAACCAAAGTTTTATATTTATATGACAGCATCAGGTAGGGTTGGGCATGGTACCTGAAATTTTCAAGTATATAGTAAGTGAAATCATTTGGTCCAAATTTAATTATGGAACTATTTGGATTCGGTTCTTAGATTTTGTACTATAATTAATTTTTTAATATTTACAAAGTTACATTTATTCTACTAACGATATGTTCAATCTTAGTTCTTATAGAATAACAAAGTTTGATATTTTGCATCTTTATTTGCTATGTTATTCATAGATTTGATTATTAAAATCATAATAAGAAGACGATTGCGAGCTTACAATAATTAAAAAAGGCGTTGTCGAGTTTCAATTTGATTTACTTAGAAATGTAGAAATAACATTATGGTAAAATAATAGATTTGGGTAAAATTTAGATCAATTTGATTAAGTTAGGCTTTGACTGAAAATTGAAAATAAGAAAATCATATTTTTTGGGTTTAAGCTAAATTAATTAATTAGCAAATTTATTTAGAAAAAGTAAAATAATTTGACTTAATTTAAAATAAATAAATATAAAAAAACAGGGATATTCGGTTCTTGATCTAGAACCGAGAACTGAACTGAACCTGTCGATTTTCGATTTTGATACATGTTCGGGTATTTAATTTAAGAAGAACCGTTTGATTTGGTTTAATTTGGTTCGGGTACAATGGTAATAACCTCTATGGATGTTTGTGTACAATTTGTCATTCACTTGTAAACCCTAATAAACTTATCATTTACAACGCTCCTCATTGAATGACACTTTACAGATATTTGTCTCGTTAAAACATTGTTTGATAAAAATTCAATGAGGCAAAAAAAATCAAAATAAAGGAAAAAAATACAGTTATTTTGGAGTATTAAAAATAAATATAGCCTCATTAAAATCATGCTAGGAAAACCCAATGGGATAAAACATAAGTGAAGGAAAAAAATACAACTATTCTCCTGATATTGTTCACTAAAAATTTTTGAGTCGGCGCATTCAAATTTTGTGAACCAATTTCTTGAATGTAGATGTCGGCAGTTCTTTTGTGAATAAATCGGTTATGTTGTCACTTGAGCAAATTTGTTGAACATCGATATCACCATTCTTTTGAAATATATGTGTATGAAAGGATTTTGGAGAAATATGTTTCGTCTTGTCACCTTTGACATAACCTCATTTAAGTTGTGCAATATAAGCTGATTGTCCGCACAAAATATTTTATCAACCTTTGAAGACTGTAGTAACATGATGATCCAGAAAATAACTCTTGTTGATATCTTCGAGAGTCATACATATAGAAGTATTATTTTTGAGGGTAAATTTCTTACATGTTATAAACATTCATGCCTCATTAAAATTTTATTAAGAAAAATCTCATGGGGAAAAATCCTAACGGGGGAAAAATAGTACATTATTCTTTTGAATACATTATAAAAATTGTTTCTTTAAAAACCTTGTCAGGAAAATTCAATGGAACAAAATCTTGGCCAAAGGAAAAAGAGTACAATGCGTATTTACTCCCCCTCATGATAATATCACTTGAATTATACTTCAAACATATTAAATCTTTCAAGGTAACATTAATAGTTATACCAGATGCATTGGCTATAATCAGATTTATAATATTTATATAAAATTCTATGTCCTATCAGACTAATAAAATAAAGACTTTAATTACATCTACCACATGTAATTACAAGTTTCGCGAGATTCATTATGTAATGAATCGTACATTTTATATTACGACTTTAATTTTTCTATTGTTATTTCACATAAGTATACAATTTTAGGTGCTCGGACTGTAGATCCAGAAACTTCAGGTTTCTCTATTAAATTCAATTTAAGATTGCGTCCCTTTTATTTAGCTAATCATTATTTCGATTGATATATTTCGACGAATTTATTTTGAAGCCTTGCTATATGATACTGTACATCATGTACAAAATTATTGTCGAATTTTTTTCTTGTTCGATTCTACTTCTTTCTCTATTATGACATAACTTATTGAGATATCTCAATTTTCAATATATCAGGTACTTGAATATCTTTAAAGATTTTGTAATATGTTATGTCTAAATACTCATCAAGAGTATATGACTCCTTAATGAGACCATCTTTGTTTATTGATCCATTTTTATTTGAAGATTTTTTGTATTAGAATCAAATATCATCATACTTCAAGTGTGCCTCAAAATATCATATTGACTAATTGTTCTATAAGATGTTAATTCGAGTTAGAGCATCTGAAATTGATGTGTGAGATATTATTGATCTCTTTAGTCAATAAATGCATCAAAATATATTGTCCTTTGAACTCCTGGTTCGAATAATCTTTTTCAATAATTTAGATAATGATGCAATTGTATATTATTTTCAGTAGCTTAATTCCTCCACATAATGCTGGGAGGATTATTCAATCAAATTGACAATTATTTTTCCACCATTATAAAATATCACACATTTGGGATGAGGGTTCAAATTACGCATTTATTCTTAGAATAATTTACATTCCATCTCAATGCATTGTGGTGGATCAATTTTACATATATGCACAATCGACATAGTTAGATGAAAAAATTAGGCTCCGTCTATAAACCATTTATAATAGGGAGAACTCTGATATTGACATGATACGCAATGGAATTTCCCAAACAAAAATGGAAAATACCTTGTTCTCAACTAATTTAATTTTAGG